GTCTTTTCTCTGGGGTGGGTGAACTTTGCCAGAGACACATCCTCCACTCTCCTAGGAGTTACACAGGCTTATTCTGGGAATGCAGCAGGGGGCTGAACCACAGTTCACTCTGCAGACTGTTTGCTCTGCCTGTTTTCATCCCAAACCCCTCCACTGCTTTTACCAGTAAGCCTGCTGTCCCAGAACCTGGATCCTCTTGTTCGGTTATTCAAAACCGTTAAGTCTCTGGTGTTTTAACTTGGCTGGCATTTTGAGGAGAAGAAAGGGGAAGTGGAAGAGGGAGGATGAGTAGTCACTAGGCTGACCCGGCTAAGGGAGGGTACCCCAGGGTCACACTTTCACACACAGGCTTTACACCAAAACCTCCGTCTGTTTCCCCAGGACCTGTCCTGCCCTGCACAGTCCCTGATAACTCCTCTCCTTTAGATAGCTTCTTGTGCTCAGCTAAATCATTTGCTCTTTTGAGAGGGGTGATAATTAGGTTGATTGATTGATTTTTTTAATGAAGGTACTGGGGATTGAACCCAGGACCTCGTGCCTGCTAAGCACACCCTCTACCACAGAGCTACACCCTCCACCGCCATTTGCCCTTCTTACATTCACTTACCCTTTACCAGGTTTTGTTCAAATTCCTCATCTGCTATTGTCTCATCCTTTTTTAAATTTTTCTCTTGGAATTACAAAGATGGACAGTAGGCCTTAACTAATGATAGCTCCTTCCACTCTTAGCTGCTTTGTCCAAAAAGCTGCTCAGGTGCTTAAACCAGCAGCCAAGAATAAAGGGACTACTGTTAGTTTAGTACCATCTGCCATCTACTTTTAATCTATGTAGAGAAAGCTTATGCGTTGGGGTCTCTATCACCCTCAATATTTTGAGTGCCTGGAGAGCTGGGACTCTGTTTTGTCTATCTTTGAGTTCCCATTGCTTAAGAAATTCCATGGTGGCAACGTTTATTCTGTTCTCTGCTGAATCTCTAGCATTTGCATTGCTGTCTGGCACATACCATGTGCTCAAGAAAGGCTTGTTGAATGACTTCTGGAAGTCAGGAATTTGTCTGCCTACTGGAACATTCCTTTAGTCTGAAAGTTCTAGTTTCACAAGATAATGTCTACGTACCTTGCACTATGTGGTGATGGATTTTGATCGGTCTTGCTCATGTTGGCTGATGGAATGATATTAAACACATTAGGAGAGCACCTTGTTCATCTGTGGATAAGAAAGTTACTGGGATGAAAACTGAATAAACTGAATCTGTATTGCCCAATACTACAAGGAGGATTTGTCAAAATTTCTCCAAATAAAAATGAAAAAAGCCTCCCTGCAAATAAAAATGAAAACTCAGAGAATGAGTTTAATGCTAAGTAGCATTTCTGTAGTGGTGTTCTCAGTGGGATCTGAAAACAAACCATTCCAGAAAGACAGGACGCCATCACCACCTCGGCCATCTCAGCCCCGTCTGGTCATTAGCAAAACCAGTAACATTGGCTGCTGTGTATTGAATGTGTGACAGGCGTTGTGCTACATGCTTTATGTGCGCTATCTCAGCCAAGTCTCAGAATGTTTCTGAGAGGCATTCGTATTCCCATTTTACAGGTGAAGAAACAGAGAGGGGGTTAAGGACACTTACTTGCCTAAAATCACGCTGCGGGTAAGAGCCAGAGCCAGGATTCAAATTCAATTTATCTCACCCCAAAGTCTGCTCTCTGACCCCCACCCTAGGGTAGACAGGAGCCCTGGAACAGCCTGATCTGCCTTGCCCCTCTCTTATTTGCCAATATCCCTAGTACAGTGATTCTCAAACTAGCTTTGCACCAGAGTCCCCTAGAGGGCATTTAAACACAGATTGCTGGCCCCACCCACAGAATTACTAATCCAGCAAATCTTTTTTTTTTTTTTCAAATTGAAGTATAGTCAGTAACAATGTGTCAATTTCTGGTGTGCAGCACAATGTCCCAGTCACGCATATACATCCATATATTTGTCTTCATATTCTTTTTCATTAAAGATTATTAGAAGATACTGAATATAGTTCCCTGTGCTATACAGAAGAAATTTGTTTTTTTATCTATTTCTATATATAGCAGTTTAACATTTGCAAACCTCAAACTCCCAAATTTATCCCTTCCCACCTCCTTTCCCCTGGTAACCATAAGATTGTTTACTATGTCTGTTTCTATTTTGTAGATGAGTTCATTAGTGTCCTCTTTTTTTCTTTTTTCTTTTTTTTTTTTTTGATTCCACATATGAGTGATATATCGTACTTTTCTTTCTCTTTCTGGCTTTACTTCACTTAGAATGATGATGTTCAGGTCCATCCATGTTGCTGCAAATGGCATTATTTTATTGTTTTTTATGGCTGAGTAGTATTCTGTTGTATTGCTGATCCCTGAAAATCTGCATTTCTAGCAAGTTCCCAGGTGATGAGTCGTCTGCTGCTATAGAACCAGCTGACTAAGCTTTGGCTTAGGGACCCTCACAAGGCTGTAGTCACAGTGTTGGCAGGGACTGCGCTCAGCTCAAAGCTGGACCGCGGGATGTCTTGCTTCCACGCTCGCTCAGGTGGCTGTTGACAAGCCTCAGATCCCTGCTGGCTGTTGGCTGGAGCCTCTCGGAGGCCTTGTTCACAGTATGTCCTGTGGCTCCTCCCAAGCAAGGAACCCATGAGAGCCGCCCCCAAATGGGAGCCACAGCCTTTTTTATATATAACCTAATCTTGGAAGTGACATCCCATCACGTCTGCCATAGTCTGTTCATTAGAAGTGCCACTAAGAGTCACTAAGTCCAGACCATACTCAAGGGGAGGGGCTCATACGAGGGCCTCCGTCAAGGTGGTGAAGGCTTTGGAGGCCATCTTAGAGGTTGCCCACCATACTGGGTGCTGCTGGGACCACACTTTAAAAATCCTGCTCTAATTAATGGCCTCAGAACAAAGACCTTTCTTCCTGAGAAAATCAAAGCTCCTTGGTGAGTACATGGATATGTGACCCTAGTAACACCTCCAGGGTGGGATCAGGGATGGGAGGGGAGCTGACTGTTTTCTATTAAGCGTATGAGGAAAAAAAAGCAAAATTTTGCACTTAGGACACCAGTCTTAAACCAGAATTCTCTCTAAAGGCCCATAACCACGCTATGGAAATGATAATGTTCTAAAATTCCAATAAAGCAGAAGTTGAGGTTAAAAGCATCACTGAGGGAGGGCATCAAGGGGTCCCAGCCAACAGCTCGGGCACGAGCTGGTAGAAGGCTAGGGGATGGTGTATTGGAGAAGTCCAAGTTTTCTTTTGGTTTGAAAATAAGTGAGCTTGTGTCTGGTGGCAGTAAGCAGCATTCCTCTGGAAGCCCCAGCATGAGGGTGGCTTGGCTTCCTTACCAATGGTTTCATGTCATTTACTCACTGAAAGCCTTCGGAGGCAGCTTCCTTATGTCATGTGCATAAAATGCATAACATTGAGTCTTGCACAAAGATGTGCTCAGTTACCATCTATCCCCTGGGACGGGGGCGGGGGTGGAGACTTTGAGAGTTACAACAGAGTCTGAGGCGTGGCCCTTGCTTAGTTATGGAGATGTTATTTCCACCTACAAAGCAAATGTAGAATTTATACAATGTGGAATCATGAAAGGACATGGGGTTTAAAATCAGAAGAACTCAGAGCTACCCTGAACAATGTGGCGGCAGGGGGCGCCCACCCTCTGTGAGGTGGAAAAGCCAAGGAAAACTTAACCATCAGCCCTGCACATTCACAGTTCCACATCCAGGGATTCAACCATCCTTGAATCATGTAATACTGTGGTATATACTATTGAAAAAACTGCATACAAGTGGACCCATGCAGTTCTAACCCATGTTGTTCAAGGGTCAACTGTGTAATGACACTCAGAGCTATGTGAACTCAGGCAATCACTTAAGCCAAGTTTTTATTACCATATTTATAGGCTATGGTTAATATATCACCATGCCATATGATAGCATACTATATACTATAATATTATGGATAACAATATATCCATAATATAAAGCTGTTTCACAGTGGAGTTGAGGGGAGAGGACTAGGTAAAAGTACTTTTTAAACTCAGAGCAATATTTGGGTGCCAATAAAATACACAGTGACTCTCAACCTTGGCTCCATAGTAGAACCACCTGGCAAGCTCTGAAAAGTCCCAGTTCCCAGGCTGCACACCAGAGCCATTATGCAGTAATGATGCCTCCCCTCCTTCCTGTCCTCTGCTGTCTTCTCTTTCTCCGTTATGTGTGTATGTACATACATGTATGTATGTCTACATTTTTTAAGGCAGACACTTGAAACAGTTAAGAGAGATTTTACCTTTGTTTCCACCAAATAGTACACACAGAGTGCTTGGGGGTGACATTCCAAAGAGGGGCTGTGAAAGGGGTGTGCACCGGGGTGGGACTAGGGTGGGCGGCGTCAGACTCAAAGAACATGTGCTCCCAGTGGGATGGGTTGATTTCAAAGCACAGAGAGGTGGTCACGCAACACCAAGGCGAAGTGTCCTGTCAGTGGGGACAGATTTTACTTTGAAATTCATTTAAGATGCCTGAGTGAGTAACAGCAACTGGGACGAAGTGATGGCAGCAGAGCCAAGGTGCAGTGTGTACACATCTAGTTAATGTCTGTGCCAAGAAAGAATAAGTGTTTCTGTTCTCAGGGGTATTGTTGAAGCAAGAGCTTTCTGCTTCAACCACTGACCCTTAAAAAGTCTTTCTAGTGAGTGTGCCAAGTTCAGTAGTTACTTTCCAGACCTTATTCTTTGATCAACATAGAAGACTTGATTTTTTGAAATATTTGAAAGAGGTTTTTACAGAAACTAGATTTGTTTTGTTCCTGATCTTCACATTTTCCGAAATTACTGTGAACAAAGTATTTCAATGGAATCTGTATGTTGGGGATTAACCAAAAAACATGGGATTGTACCCAAAAGAAACTGAACAGGGGAAGGTCACTGTGTGGTCAGCTGACACGTCCTTCTCTCTGTTCTCTAGGACCACATGCCGGGGGAAAAACAGCCAGGCAAGACACCCCGTTGCTCCCACAACCAGAAAGCTTCTCACATGGAGCCAGCTCCGAGGCTGCTCTCGCCCCCTGGGATGGGGACTTGGACTCTCCCCTTCGTCTCTGCAGAGGACGTCCCCGGAGAGACTCCTTCACCACCCCGGAGCCTCCTTCAGCACTCACACGTCAGTTTAGATGACCTGTGGCTGGAGAAGACGCAGAGGAGGAGGTTGAAGAAGCAGGCGCAGGTCGAAAGGAAGATGCACGCACATAACGACGGAGTCCAAGTAAGCTACTCACACACCATCATCATCCGACTTGGCCGGGCACCCACTCTTCCAATGCAGCTGCTTTCCCTTCCCGCCCCTCCCCCGCCTCTGCCCCAGGACAGCCTGCAGGAGACACACTTCACAGTGATGTGTCCCCTTTGTCTCTGCAGTGTGTCTCTGCCTGCATCCGGCCCTGTGCAAGGCAGGGGAGCGGAACTGAAGAATTGGAGTCTGTCCTCAAGCCCCTTCCATAGTAATGACCATTTAGGG